ATTCAGGAATTGACACTTTTTTTTTTAAGCAATGGGTGTTAATCTTGCAAACAAATACCAGTACAATAACTCTTAGTAAGAAATCACTAGAATATAAATAACTTTGATAAGTTATGTGATTCATCTTCCTTTCTAAAAAGAGGGTTTAAAAAAAGGAAAACTTTGTCACAAAAATTTCTTTTAAAACCATCACGAAAGCTGTTTCCTAATCTTCCTTTCTAGCACCTTCACATCTCTCTCTAGTCAACAGGAACATTTAAACTCACATTTGTCTGTTAAAACTTTTAGATGGTTCGTTTCATCTTTTTTTCCCCTTCGAAACAGACACTTAGTGAAATCTCTTTTCAAGTCATTTCGTTATAATTTCTACTTTCTCTTCTTCATCCTACTCAAGATGTGTGGTTTTTTTTTTCCTCTAGCATTTTGATACAACCTATTTCCTAGATATTCAATTATTTCCCCCCCCCCTTTTTTTTTTTACAGGAAGACTTCCATTGAAATAGTTTCAAGTTCATTTTATTTATATCTCCATTTAACCAAGAATAGAATACAATCATCCTGAAATTTCTTCCTTTAACCAACAACTTATTACATTCAAGAAAAAAGGCGAATGTTTTGCTTGTGAATTCTACTGGTACTTTCTAGACTCAAGAGAAAAGAAAAAAAGTACAGGTGGTTTTTCTACTTTTAAAATTATTTTGATAATTAACTATTTTCATCTTTACAAAGGAAAAAAATAGTTTTCCCCCTTTGATTCCTCCAGAGCATTAAACAAAGAGGAAAAATTAAGACATTTCTAGTTTATGTTCTTCTAAAAGGGGCTCATGGATTAGATGAATGAATGCAAGATCAAAATCTTGATCCTTGCCTGAATTTTGCTCTTAGGAGATGAGTGACCTTGGGCACAATGTTTCAATATTCATCAATTTCCTCATCTATAAAATGAGATTATTATATATTTCCTTCTTTCCTGAGTAGTTGCATGGACCAAAGAGAGTATACAATGGAAGTTAAACACTGAGATACTATATAAACACAAGTTATAATTGATACTTGCTGATAGCACATCTTAAGAGGCTTATTTTTTAAAAAAAATCCAGATTAAAAAACAAACAACAACAACAAAATACTTTAAAGCATTATTCACAATAGCCAGAGGTAGAAGCAGCTCAAAATGTCCAATGACAGATTAATAAAATAAAAGTCAACATGGCCACAGAATACTTTATTAAAAAAAAAAGTAAAAATCCCTTTCCAAACCTTAACAATTGACTGGACAGGGTGAAGATTGCTATGCAGATATCAGGTAGAAAACTCAATCTGCCAGAGAGAAACATCTTCTGGATTTTAACAATACATGGCAAGATTTGAGACATACTGGAGTGACCAGCTTTTGACCCCTCACCTGGACATTTCCATGGGCTAACAAAAGTTGTGACCATTTTGATTTCTATCAGTTTCTCATTGCTGAACTTGCTTCAGTCCTATTTATCTCCCCCCCCCCAAAGAATGCTGAACTTTACTCATCCACTTCTTGTCATGAAAATCTCAAGTTTACCCCTTCTCAGCAGAATGTTGATGTCTAACTGACCTGTGTATTCTGATTAGCAAATCTATTCTGCACACCTGTCCTCTCAAAAACAAAAACAAAACAAAACAAAACCGAAAACAAACAACTCCCCCCACCACACACACATCAGCCTTTTGCTCTTGTTATAACTTCTTTTATGGTCTCTTGGTTTACAAGATAAACAAAGAAACATGGCATGTATATTGCATGGAATATTACACAGTCTTAAAGAAGGAAATAAATTATCATACATGACAACATGGATGAGCCTTGAGGACATTAAGCTAAATGAATTAGGCCAGCTATAGGACAAACAATGTGTGATTGCACTTACATGAGGTATCTAATTTAGCAGTCAAGATTATTTAGAGAATACTGGTTGGCCAGGGGAGATGGGGAGCTATTGTTCAGATGGGTACAAAGCTTGTTTTCTGGGATGAAATGTTCTAGAAATCTGTTGCACAGTGTTGGCAGTACAGTGACCCCACTGAACCATTCACTTAAAAATGGTTTCAGAGGGTAAAAAGCAAACAACCTTGAGAAGAGTTATTTTAAGATAAATTGAGAATCAAGTGAGATTTAAAACAAAACTCAACCAAAATAGCAGCCTTTATTGGACCCTTTCATTAGCAGTCACCTTGCTCACCTTTCAGAAGCACGTCTCTGGCTAGCAAAGGCTGTGTCCCCACAGAGACATTCAGATGACAGCAGGGGCCTCTGTCCTCCAGGCTGCCCTCTAAGCCTTCCCCCACACCACCACTGAGGTGTGTCTGCTCATCATTCTTAAAGTATCTGGATCACACGGCTGTTGGTCTAACTGCTCAGTCCAGTGACACACGTTTCTAGCTCTCACCATTGAACCACAAGCTTCTGGAGAGAGAAATCACATCTCAGATGGCTTCTCCCCACACTCTCACTCAACAGCACACACAGTTCATCAAATGTTAAATGAGTGGAATAAAATAGTCAATTTGCCTTTTTTTTTTTTTTTTTAAGTTTAGCTGTTTTGGGGCAGAAACTTAGTAGATCAGAGAGGTTGACTAATTTAAGCTCTGCACAGAGGTTTTTCTGTTGTTCTCTGTTCGTATCTAGAAAAAGGAAGAGAAGAATCCTGTATTTATAGCTGTGTTTACAATGATACAAAGATATTCAGTTACAGCTCTTTAAGAGAGGGGGGGGAAAAGACTTGAACCACAAAGTTTATAATAATCCTTCCCCAATCCATTTATGGTTTTGAATAGCCACAAGTCTTTATTATGTTAACATTCCTTACAACGGTTCTTAAACAAGAGTGCAATTTTAAGTGTGTGCAAACCCTTAGTCCTCTCCAACTTCCATTAATAAAAACCATCAATGTATCTTTGTGTGTGTGTGTGTGTGTGTGTGTATGTGTTGCTGGGGATTGAACCCAGGGCCTTGTGCATGTGAGGCAAGCACTCTACCAACGGAGCTGTATCCCCCAGCCCACCATCAATGTATCTTACGAGACTGTTGGGTTCGAATATCACGTTCTTTTTAAAACGTGTGATTCTCATCCACAAGAAATTTAAAACTTACAGGTAGATTGCCAAGATAAATATAAATCAAGAGCAATGTATGATTTTATTCCAGAAATAGTCAGGTGTTAGAAAACAGCCTATGAGAAGAAGGAGGAAGCAGGATCAATCTTCTCCAGACAACTAAGGGGGTCTACTTCTGGGGTGACAGAGAAGTAGAGCAACATCTTTACTGTCAAGGGGCTCAGAGTCACAGTTCAGGAGGCAGGATGCATGCCTTGGTCGTGGGGGACAGGTGGAGCTACAATCCAACCTGCCACAGTGAGCTACCGTGAGACCAAGTGAGAGTGTCAACATCAGTGACACCCTGCTCAGGTCTGCAGCCGTTGGACATAACAAGTCTGTCTTACAGCACTTACCAAAAAAAAAAAAAAAAATCAGAAATGAATAATGCTAACAGGCTAGTGGCCATATAAAACAGCAGAGGAAGACTATACTTAATTCAAAGGAAACCAAGACATGAGTTTCAAAACTTGTAATACAGACTCCCCATTTGACATGGAACCCCTTAACAGCAGGAACCGTGCATTCCAGTCTCCTGTGCCCATGATAAGAGGCCCAGGGCAGGAGGAGAAGGTTCTAGGACCCCTGTATTTAACAGGTACTTAACATGTTCATTCAGTTACTACTGCAATCCTGAGAAGCAGGACGTACTGACATTTCACAAATGGCAAAACTGAGCTCACCACGTAATTTCTCAAGAGGTCAAACTGGCAGTCCATGGCAGAGAGGAAATGTTTCACTGAGTGGATAGTTCACTGAGTAAATATTCCCTATCTGATCTTCCACAGGAAATAAAAAAATTTGCTAATTTCTGGACCAAGGCTTCAGACATGGGAGGAGGAAGGGAACTCCAAAAGAAAGAGGAAACAGAAAGGGTTGGAGGGAAAAGAGAAGGAGCTCCATATTTTAAGCCCATGGCAGAATTGATAATAGATGCCCAGAAGAGGAAGACCTGAGATGCTAACACTAGGGAGAGAAGTCAGAACCAAAGGTGTGGATTTATAGTGATGGCTGGAACCTTGAGAGGAGGAGATGGTAAAGAAGATGGCAGTGATTTCGAACTCATATTGGAGGTAAAAATCTATGTTCAAAGGAAAACTAACCCAGAGATTTCACGCTATAACATGAATGGGAAAGAGGGCTGTGGGATAAATCCCAAATGGAACACCCAGATTACAAGCAGCTGGGCACCCCTCTGCCTCCCCAGAAACCCATGGATCCCCTGGTACTCTGCAGAGCTCGACGTGAACACCAATAGCATGCCTAGGGCCATGAATACCAGAAGGCCAAGCCCTGAGCATCTGGATAGATGGACTTCCACATTTCAGCAGAGGGAACTAAAAGCTATTGCTCAAGACATTGAAAAGGAACAACCAGAGTGGCAGCAGAAGTAGGTTTTGTGTTGTAGCCAGTGCCTGTAAAACCACACTTACTGGAGAAGAAGACAAGGTTGTGCCTTGCAGAGAAATCAAGGAAAGCTTCACGAAAGGTCAATGGACTTAGTGATTAGAGAGTCACTAGAGAACATCAGTCGGGAGACAGAGACAGAAATCAGGCTCAAGGGGTTAAAGGGTGCGTGGGGGAGGACTGAAAGAAAGTGGGAGGAGTTGGAGAAAGTTTGGGTGATGAGGTTAAGCAGAAGGAGAGACGAAACAGGATGGTGTGGAGACATTTCTTCTTCCAAAAAGGTAAGGAAGAAAAAGAGATGGGCATGGTAGACTGGGCAGAGAATAGCTCCTCGTCACCCCTTTGACTACACAGCCTTCTCATTTCCCATCTGCACTAGCTCCAAGTTTTGCCCTGTGACTTTCTTTGGCCAAATGACACACGAGGAGACTTGATGTCATCCACTGATTTTTGTTCTCTTTCAGGTCCACCCTGAGCCCACAGGTGAACAAGCCCCACCCAGTCTGTTGGAAGATAAAAGACCTCAAAGAGGAGAGCCAAAAATCCCTGAAGATGACAGCCACCAACCCTCAGACACCTGTGACAGGCCATCTCAGGTCACCTAGTCCTAGCTCACCTATCAGCTAGCCAACGTTGCCCAGGAAGGAACTATAGTCAGCTTTCAGCCACTAAGTGAATATTGGTTTGTTCTGCAGTAAACATGAGAGAATTTCTCTCTCATTTTCCTAAGAAAATGAGTGAGAATGGTGCTGATAGTAAAAAGATCAATAGTCAGACCGCCCAACAGTATTTCAAAATGCCACAAAAACAGAGCTTTGCTTTAAAAAAAAAATTCCTTCAAATATTTTACCATGAGCAGTAATTGGGCATTGAGTGTTATTGTTGTCTATTATTATTATCAACTAACACTAGAGGGGAGTTGAACAAAGGTACCTTTGGAAGTGGACTGTACCTACCCAGCCATAAGCATGAATGAACCCAGACGCCTACTCAGGCCCTGAGGGCTTCCCACAAAGAACTTTGACTTTGCTTTTTATGAACCATGACTTTTCTCCCTAAATAACAGAAGCTTCCTGTCGGCAAAAGACCTGTCCATTTCTCCTCTGTGGCTCTGGTCTGACGGTCCCTCTTACACACCAACTGTGCCAACAATGTCTATAAGATCCATTATGTCCTATCACCCTCTATGTATGAAACACCTATAAAAATATTTTATAGGTGTTCTATAAAACTGTCTAAGTTTTTATAGGAGTCCCGTATATAGGATGACAGATACCATGGATTACTGTAGTGGACATTCAATGACAATAACAGTGACTCAAAATTTATTGTTGATCGATTCTCCTATAAAATATCACATTGAACCTATTATATTTCTTCTCCAGTCCTTACCACATCCATATTTGCCAACTCAAGTCTCTGCAGATAGGGGAGAAAGGATGATTTTTGAGAAAGGAATGAAGGAAAACATTGTTCTTTAAATTAAAAAAAAAAAAAAGAAAATCATATGATCCAGCAATTTTGCTCTTAGGTGTATACATATGCAAAATGAAAACATATGCCCATGAAAAACTTGAAAACAAATGTTCATAACTGCATTACTCATAGAACCTAGAAAGTAGAAAAGCCCAAGTGTCTTCCAATTGATAAATGTTTAAGTAAAATTTGGAATATATTCTCAATAAGAGTATAACTTGGCAATAAAAATAATGAAGGGCAATACGTGCTGTAGTATGAACATTAAAACAGTATGTAAGTGAAAGCAGCCCATCACAACCACTCTAATATGAGTCATTTGATATGCAATATTCAAAAGAGGAAAATCAAGAGACTAAGTTGAATAGTAGTTTCCTAGGGCTAAGGGGATTTGGAAATGATGAGGAGTTAGTTACTTCTAGTGGGCATTTCTATATCAATGCCTATATCAATTTTAGAAAATTTTCATTGTCCTCCCCCCCCAAATATTTCAACTCTGAATATTCTAGAAACCACACTGACTCATATATACTTTAATTGAGGAAGTTACAGCTCAACAAAATTGCTTTTAAAGAAAGGCTCAATGAGAAAATAAATTCATATATTACTCATCTTTAAAGCAATATCAAAGAACATCAACTTAAACAAGGCAGGGTTTGCAAAGTACGCCGAACCTGGACAAGATCAAAACACATATTTGGGATCAGAAAATACCAACTTAAAAAAAAAAAGTCAAGTCAGTTGATATTTACTTGTCTCAAAATTAAATATAAAATCTATTCCTCATAGAGTTTAGGAGAAGCCATAACAAAGCGTAGTGAGGAGTACTGGGTTTTATGAGCAGCGAAGAGTGCCTCCTTATGTAACCTTTTTTTAGGTCACTTAATTTCAAAAGGCAGTGTCTCTACTTGCCAATTACCTTACCTCAGAACAGTACTATTAAGGCAATTAATGGGTAATGTAGTTCATCTTTATTTAGGACCAGGATCTGGAAGCATAGTGGATTGGCATTCACTTATTACATGTCATTTGTAGGACAAGTGAAAATACCAACTTATAAAGTCTTTCTGTCTGAGGATCGTTACATAATAAATGGAGAAAACATTTGATTCTTCCAAAATGAAAGAATTCATATATATATATATATATATATTTAAACATTAAAAAAGGTCCCCAAAAGTCAGGATGATATACTGATTTAAACAAATAACCTAAGGAAGAATTTGACTTGTATAGTTTCTCATTTCCATTTTTTTTCCTCAAGGATATTAGAAGAAGTCAGACCTACAAAACCATGATTTTAACGTAAACTTACTTCCTAGTCCTTTTATAATCTTTCAGAACACATTTAAATGCTCTCCCTGGAATAAATCATTTGAATACAACAAAGGTTTAAGATGCTTTTTTACAGAAAAACTAATGTAAGTAAACTATTTTCATTCAATATAAAAAATGGTCCTTCAATTATTGTGTCCTTGATTTCTCTTTTTCTGTCTTTTTCTATATCATGTGTAACTGTAAACTTTTTAGACAGTATGAGAAGCAATATGGACCTGGTTTGATTTAGGATCAACATTTTGATGCACATTAGGTTGAAAGATTCAGAAGTTCTCTGCAGCTGTGTCACTTAATTCATGACTTAAGAGTACACAGCCACCTACAAAAGTCCCCCAATCAGATAAAGATTTTGAAAACCAACTTCATACTACATTGGGATATATGATGACATGATATAAATCTGAGAAAACGGTATGTGAAAATTACATGAATAAATTAGCTGCAAATAGAACAATCTTATTTCTGGAATACAAACTGTTATTTCTTTTCCTTGACTTTTCCTGACACTCAGGTGCCAAATATAGAATGTCGAATATGAATTCTCAGTCGTGACATATTAAACTACCAGCAAACCTGCAGCGATTAACTTTACCAAACATTCATCATTTAACTATTATCTAATTTCAACTGCACAGCATTCCAAATGGCCGATTTTGGCAGAGCAGATTCGTGATGGCAACTGGGCTGGCTACTCCTTGCTCTACCAGCTCCCAGGGTCACAAAGCCCTCCTGGCTCCTCATGCATATAAGCTGTCTCACATTCCCTGCCAGCTGAGGTGAGAACTTTGTCATGATATACAGAAATACTGCTTTTAAGAAGTCAAGGGCTCCTGGCGGCTCCTCAATATACTACTATGGCAGCTGAGCAAGAGGTCATGAATATTACATAAGGACTGCCCATGCATTCAAACCAAATCTCCAAGCCACGATTCCCATAGCAACACACACTGGTTCTACTCATCTGAGAGAAGAAGTGGTGAGAAGAAGTACTGTAATGCTACCCGGATTTTTCCAGCATGATCAACACAATACTTACTCTTTTTCAAAATCAGTCATTTTTTTGCAAAAGAAAACCAACTGTGTTACAATACGTTCACTCAGGTACCAAGGATCAAACAATCAAACAAACATGCCTTAAACGTGGACAACAGCTTATGCTTTAGAAATAGCTACTGTTCAAACAACTCCATGAGAAAAAAGAATCCAAATCACAATTTCATAGTGAAATAAAATTCAGACTGGAATAAATTCTATATTTCATCTGATTTCCAGTTTCCCTCCTATATATGCATAGAGTAGTATAATGGAATGAGGAAGAAAGTGGGATCCCCCAAGGGGAGAATCTTCTCTAACCAATGACACCTTTTGCTTCATTTTTCAAAAGCAAAATATAATGCATTTTTAAAAATATGTCATTATAAAATGCAGAATAAAATTTAGGGGAAAGATTGCTCAAGACCAAGAAAATAAATATTAGCTTAAAGAAAGTCCCCCCCCCCAAACACAGATATAGCTAGGAAAATGAAGTAAAATATTTGGATGTTAGATACCATTTTCCCTCTTGGTATATTTAGAGATCCTTTTGTGTGTGTGTAAATAAACCACCTACTGATAGAAACAGGTTGCTCAGATTATAGAACAAAAGTGAAGACCAGTCTTACCTATCAAACTTCCTGCTATTAAAGGGGGAAAAAAATGCTCCATTAATTTTATCCTTTTAAAATCAGACAATGTAATACTCTTTAAAGAGAAATTTCCACAGGTGGTTCATCACAGGCACAGCCCAACTTGCAAAGAAAGGCCTTGGCAAGGAAGAAATGGTTTTACCTTTGCTTTTTCCAACTGTGCCTGGGCCTGTCGTTCAGCTTCTCTGCGCACTGCCTCCCGGTCCTCCTCCAGAGACACATCTGAATCGGATGGACGGCTGGTGTAGGAGTCTGCCGAACCCTGGAGAGGAAAATGTATATATTAAAATAGATTCAAGGCATGATGTTTGCATTGGGAAAGTCTCACTGACGTGGCGGTTTGCTTCCTCGATTGTGCTATAAATTCCTGAAAAGATGAAAAATAATCCATTTTTGCAGCAACCCAATCTGGAAAAAACATACTTTGCATTGCAGACCCTTCACTAGGGTAGTTGTGTCCACCAAGTTACCATTCCTTCCCAAGCCTCATATTCCAGAAACTATTCTGGAAACCAAAACAAGTTCCTTTATAATAAAACCAGCTGGGTGGTGCAGTGCAGAGCTGAAGGGCACTCATGGGTTTCAAGGATAGCTTCAAGAACAATCTACATGCTAAAGCAGGTATGCACAACTAGAAAGACATTAAGCCTAACCAAAAACTAAAATAAATAAAAGTCTAATGAGTTATCAATCTGAACTCCCCCCACCAAATGTCACTGCCAGGATGTGACTCCCATTATAATCTTAAGAATCATTTTATACCTTTTAATACACCTGCTACCTTCTCCGACAAAACTGTAATAAGACACTAGCAGCTAGCTTCTTTCCCTCTTTCAGGAACACATTTTAAAACACCTTTACAGAGATATTTAATAAGAGCTGTCTACAGAAAACACCTGCCTGGAATATCTCCTCTGGCAATAAATCACAACGTAGGAAAAGGAGCTCAAAAAATGATAGGAATCTCCCTAGCTCCCTCTCTTGCAGTCTTGAGCATATTAACTAAATCCAACCACCCCTCTCTGCCTGCACTCACTGCAATACAGAAAAGCCAAGAAAACAACGTCTCCCCCAAAGCAAAGCCCTTGAGCTTACACAGATATCAGAATTCTTCAGCCTTCCTCCCTTGGCTCTTTTCAGAAGCCTGATCCAGGTGGCCTTCATTAGCCAGACAGCGCCTTTAACGTCCGCAGCTGCAGCCCGGGGCACAGATTCTCAGTGCACGCTGAGCCCGGGAGAATCCCAGCTCCCTTCCTATCCATGCTCTAAGCAGCCCCTCTGCTCCGTCCCCTCCTGCCAGGGTTTTCACTCCCTGTCCCAGAAGACTCCCATCCAAGGAGATTCTTATTTTCCCCTTCCAAGAGTATCAGCACACACTCGAATTCTTTCTATGTCTTTTAAAAATAAAAAACCCTTCAAGTGCAAAGCCCGGCATCATCAACTCGGTTCTAAACTTAATGCATCTTATTACCCTAAATATTCTCTTCCCTGCTCCCCTGTTCCCCTGCTCTTGGATTGTTAAAGGAAATTAGTTGTAAGAGGACCTTAAAAAAAAAAAAAAAAAAACACCTAGTGCAAAAAACGTATGCAGTGACATTTGCAAGTGCAAAGTTCAAGCCTTATCTTTAGAGATCTGGAGGGGAGGGAGGGGGAGGGAGGAGGACGTACTACCCGCACTGGGCATGCTCCATATGTAGCCTTTTTACGCAGATGCTCACATCACACTGTTAGTCTATGTTAAATTGCCATTTTACATCCAAAGTGTAAACAGCTGGAAAGGTCTCTTTGCTTCTATAGTAACGGGCACATGGTATGTTTGTCAGGTTTCTGTTTCAGATGAAACCTTCTCTCAACGACAAAGCATGTAATCTTTTTATTTAATAATCCCTCTCAATGACTTGCTACAGAAAGGATGTCTATGTCATAAAGGCAATTCACAGATAATAAATATTATATAAAGTACTGGATGGCAAAAAATCAAACAGTGCTCATCACTCATAATATAATACAGCTCTTTATTGCTTGTGGCTTTTCAAATAAGATGTAAGACAGAGATTTGGCCCTTTAATTAGGACATGGAAGTAATCACAGCCCTATACAGCAATGAGTTTAACTGAGCTCAGAATGACTTTGAATTGCTTCTCCAACGGAGCAAACGCCATTTGAAATAAGCCACTAGAATAAATAACTGTGAATTGTTACAATACATATATGAAGAAATTGCAAAGATAGATTGATTTATTAGCTTGTGTTAAGATTCACAGAATACAGTAATGGAGTCCGAACTCTTCTTGTAGATAAGGTGACTGGGGCTCAGAGGAAGGATGTTAAGGTTATGAGTAGCTTGTGCAAATGGACTTTTATTTTTAAGGATCAACTATGAAGAAATGCACACTTCTGGGTTTCTTAAACATAAAACTGAAAACCAAATTGCAGTATTTGAGTGCAGTGGGAGAAATGATTCTGCAAAGTCCCTCCCTCCCTCCTTCCTTTGGTTTCCAGGCTAATACCAATCTTACTGCTCTAAATGCTTAAAACTAATAATAAAAAAAGATAGGCACTTCGGAACAAAAGTTAAAGAACAACTATACCTCAATTTAACATTATGAAGTGAATGAAAAATCCCTGGAGAATAGAAATGCATTTTACTTTTTGTTCAAGCAAATTACAAGGGACAAATGAATCTTGTAACACACACATATACCAGTAGGGGATTCCTAATCTTCCCAGAGAACTTCCTAAACTAGAAAATGACCAAGAAGCACACTTTTTGCCCACAGCCCTATTGTCACCAATCTTGGCATTTTGAAGCCCTAATCACCTGGATGACGTTCAGGCCACATTTCAGTGAAGATAGAAATTTTCTATCATTAAAGAACCTCAAAATAGCTGGACATGGTAGTGCACACCTATAATCCCAGTGGCTCATGAGGCTGGGACAGGAGGATCATAAGTTCAAAGCCAGCCTCAGCAATTTAGCAAGAGGCCCTAAGCAGTTCAGTGAGGTCCTATCTCAAAATTAAAAATTAAAAAAAAAAAAAACTCAAAATGACATATGAAGTACATAATAAGAACATATATACATTTTTATCATCTCAATCGCTGTTAAACAGAATAAGATCTTAAAAGTTCTTTGCTAATAATCAGATGACACTTCTGCATTGCATAATTTTTTTGAGACCTGTTTCCAGTTTTAAATAATTAAACAGTTTTTAAAAATCTCTTTATTGACCCTTGGCAATGACTTTTTGAATATTTGAAGCAAATTTTGACTATTTTATGATCACTATGAACTGCTTTTTTGGGGGAGGGGGTTGCTGGGGATTGAGCCCAGGATCTTATGCATATGAGGCAAACACTCTACCAATTGAGCAATATCCCCTGTTCTGATCTTTAGCCTTTTGAAAGAACCAGATTACTTTTATTCCTTCCATCTGACAGTATAGACTTTCAAAATATTTTTCATTATAGAAGTTATATGTACTGTGAAAAGAGACACAAAGTACCATCACCTCAAATTCTGTACCCAGACACAAACACTGTTAAAGAGTAGCATAGCATATTTTTGTGTCCAGAGTTGTCTGAAAGTCACCTCCTCACATAGGCATTACAATTAATCTTCTTCCTTCTGGGAGTATGGATTTGTACGTTTAGAAGTGATATTACTAATTAAGACTTTGGTACCATATGGACTTTCTGGGTCATGGTGCCTCAACTGACAGGAACAGTTGGCAGTCATTTCCACAGCTCTCAAACAGGGTCATTACAAGATGTACCCTGGGTCTCTGCAGTTCCTATAATGTGAACCTTCTGCGGAAGGTTTTGTCCTTCCCTCTTCCTTTCACCTACCCACATTTGCTTGTCTCCATCTCAGTATTCACGTTGCTAATTGTACAGTTCCAAATTGCAGTTTGAGTCTAAGGTCTAACCCCACAGTCCATCCCAGGATCTTCTACTTTGATGCTTAGAACTTTCCCTCTAAGACAGGAAAACAGTTTAATCAGATTAACTTGCTCTTTTATCAACTTTTCACTTTCTTTCTCCACTTCAATGTCAAATATTTGCACAATACAGCCTCACCCTTTTCCTTTAACACCTTTGTTTGTATGTGTAAAGTTTGCTTTTTGGATGTCTTACTCTCCTGTTTTCACAGTCATGTATATTTCCAGCACCAGTTTTTGTGAGTGTTCTTGTTTTTTTCTCTTTTAAAGTCAAAAGGATAAGAGTTGTAAGCCTACTTAAAAGTGGCATCTTGGATCCCAAATTGTGTCATCTATTTCTGTAGAAACTCTTCATATAAAATCTAAAGCGACATTCTTGAGCAAAATCAGTTTCCCATGGTACCCCAAGGACACCCTGATTCTTGACAAGGCTTTGCCCTCTTCAAACTCAAACCTCATGCACAGAACTGTGCCAACCCAATGGCAAAGTGACTCCAGCTGTTTCCCTTCACCCTGCCATTAACAAAAACAACATTCCATTGCCATATGGACCAGACCCCCATTTTTTAGAATAGAGCAAAACAGACAAGGACCAAAGGGAAAGAATTCTATTGTTGACTGTCTGATGGTGGGGTGATAATTCTTTTATTTCTCATTATCATCTCTCTTACCGTTTAGAAGAATTAACGGTTGTTCTGGAAAGCAATCTAGATTTCTTCAGAAATCTTAACTGTTATTTCTTAATAACCCATTCATGGATAATGAGAGATTTCAACTTTTTTAAATATAAAGATTTATTTAAATTTAAAGGTCATAGGAACTTATTAAGTAAAATACAGAAAGATGCAGAACAGCATGTTCTTGTTGACCTCATTTTTGTAAAATATAAACATAGCAAGATACGAGCTGCTTTGGGACCCTCAAAATTCAGTATCCAGGATACGGATAATGACATTCTAATTATGATAGGTGCTCAAGAATTATTATCATTTGTAGTTATTTCAATAGTAATAGAGAGACCCCTTAGAATTCACAGAGAGGAAATAACTTTGTTGAAGTTATTTCCTAAGGAGGGGGGAAAATGAGAAAGAGAATGAGAACATATGGATGTCACATAACCATTGTCCTAATGAATGACTTAAGAGTAAAATTTTAAATAATTTTATCATAAAAAATTTCAAGGGGTTGGGATTGTGGCTCAGTGGTAGAGTGCTCACCTAGCATGCACGAGGCATTGGGTTTGATCCTCAGCACCACATAAATGTAAAATAAAGACATTGTGTCCACCTAAAACTAAAAATTAAATATTTTTTAAAAACTC